GGGATCGGGATCGGGGCCGGGGTCGGGATCGGGATCGGGATCGGGATCGGGGCCGGGATCGGGATCGGGATCGGGATCGGGATCGGGATCGGGGCCGGGATCGGGGCCGGGGTCGCCGCCAACTCCGCGGGGCTCGCGGCCCTTCCCGCGGCCTCCGGGCCGCCCATCCCGGCCTCCGGCTCTTAATTATCGAATTAATTTATTAACAACGCTAAAACGGGCGGGGAGGGCGGCGGTTTCATTCTTTATTCCGGGCGGAGAACGGAAAAGAATCATCATAACGATAATCGCAATAATTTCGTAAAAGAATCGCCTTTCGGTAGAAAAATTGCGCCCCCCTCCTTGTTTGTTTTTTTTTTTTTTTTTTTTTTTTTTTTTTTCCTTTTTTTTTTATTTTTTTTTTTTTTTCGGCCATAAATCTCCCGCTCGGCTTAAAAAAAAAAAAAAAATCTTTTCCACCCTGAGCGTTTCACGGCGCGCTCGTTAAGGTTTTTGTGGGTTTTTTTTTCCTTCTCCTCTGGCACAAAACTGGGATCGTAAAAAGGATTTTTGTGCCTCTCTCCCCGCGCTCCTGTTTGGTGGCAAAACCCTGGGAAAAACGACACAAATCGGGGGAGGAAGGAACAGAGAAAAAACCCCAAAAACCTCAGAAGCAGGGAAATATGAAAGAGCGATATTTTAGCGGATCCGCAGGAATAATCGCTTCCAGATTTTATTTTATTTTTTTTTTTTTTGGAGGGGGGGGATAAAGCGGGTGGGATTTGGGGGAAAAACGGGACGAGGGCGACGAACGGTCTGGTCCTAATTAGGGCGATGGCAAGGCTCGTTTAATTAAAGAAAGGCACCTCTTTGGCCGGGTTTTTCTGATTAAACTCCGCTCGCTGCTCGTTTTTCTGCCCTTCCCGCAGCCTGGGAAGCGCCGACGGGAGGAGGGGCCGGGATGGACCCGAATTTCCTCCCCCGGGCTTTTTTTTTCACCTTTCTGAGCCTCCCCCCAATTTTTTGGGGTTTAAAAAAAATCATTCCCCCCCCCCGCAGCAAAAAATAAAAGGAGGGGTCGCGGATTTGCTTTTTATTTCGGCCTTTCCGTCCCAAAAATTGGCGATTTCTCGATGTCTTTTCCCTCCTCCCGCTCCTTGTCCTCACCCCGGATATTTAATTTGATATTTTAATTATTTCCCCCCCTCATTTCCAGCTCTGGATCAGCGGCCGCTTGTGCCAAGCTCCTCCATTCATCCCCAGTTTTTTGGTTTTTTTTTTTTTTTTCCTTTTTCCTTTTTTTTTTTTTTTTTTTTTTTTTTTTTTTTTTTTTTTTTTTTTTTTTTTTTTTTTTCCCGAGCACATCCTTCGATCGCCCGCGGCCATAAATTAGCACAATTAATTATCGCAATCTCCAAATTGATGGCGCGCAGATCCCTTACCTCAGCGCTTTTTACCGCCGCGTTTGGGGCACGGAAAATGCAGGGGGGGAAAAATTAAAAAACCTCTCGGGGATGCTCGGGCCGAGCCCCGGGGCTGCTTTTAAAGAAAAAGACACCTCCAAGGCCGATTTTTTTTTTTTTTTTTTTGCCTTTTTGTTGTTTTCGGGTGTTTTTTGTTGTGGTTTTTTTTTTTTTTTAAGGTATATTTACAGAGCTGCTCTACAATAGGCAACAGAACAAATATTACAGAACGGGTCTGAGACGAGAATAAAATACACAAAATCGGTACAGCAGAAACGTTCAACACCGTGACAGAACATCAGCATCGGGAGCCACCATTCCCTCC